GCTTATTGACTGAATGTTGGCTGGTGAAAGACAGACATGCACCTGCTTGTGTCCCTATTCTTTCCCTTTAGCTCATGAAGATTAGGTTATAGAGATAAGGCTAAATGAAAAGAATGAATAATGATTCTTTCCTAAAACTTTCTAGATTTATTTGTTGATATTGGTGTGCACAAAGTCTTTGAATTGCCATACCAGGCTTTTAAAATTTAGTTCAGATAAACTGCTTTACGTGTTTTTTTTTTTTTTTCTTTTTCATTCAACTGTTCTCTCTTCTGGACAGCCTTCCCCAAGTTTACATGGCAGACAGAATAAATTCTTCCTGAATATTCCCAGTGAACTTGATACATACCTCCAAAATAACAAGAGTGTGCATAATCTCTCTTTGGTGCTATATTCAAGCTGCTAACATTATAGCTCTAGAAGCTGTTGCTAGTCATCTTGTGACCAGGTAGAGACTCATCAGCTGTGTCCAAAAAAAGATAAAGAAACCAATTCCTCTTCACATTCTTTAAAATCTGATTATGCTTTACCTAAAATTCTATTCTACATTGTTTATGATTGAATAAATTATCTTTTTGCTTAAGCTAGCTTGAATTCTCCTCTGTCATGGAAGGTACTAATCATGGATGTAGCTATCATGAGTTGTCATAGAAGACCTACTAATATAGTAGGACTTTCTCCCATCAGACTGTGATTACGTTAAGAGCAGATTGTGGTTTTCTTATGTCTGTATCTTCACTGTCTGGGAAAAGTCATGCACATGGAAGATGCTCAGTCAATATTTGTTGAATTAATAAATATAGCATGGATTTTTTTTAATTTTATTTATTTATTTGTCAGAGAGAGAGCACACGCAAGCAGGGGGAGCAGCAGGCAGAGGGAGAAGCAGACTCCTCTCTGAGCAAGGAGTGCGATGTGGGACTCGATCCCAGAACCCTGGGATCATGACCTGAGCCGAAAGCAGATGCTTAACTGACTGAGCCACCCAGGCATCCCAATATAGCATTGCTGAGTTTAGAAAATATGCATTTGGATGGCATTAAAAAGCCTCACTTCAGTGTTTGCAATCTTAAAGCAGGGATGAGAAAATGAGTAAATGTCCTTCCTTTAGTTGGGATTTACCCATGCAAGGTATTAGTAGATGAAAGGACAGTGGGTGGAGAGCACGAGGAATTCCACCTGAGCTGTTTTTAAATGCCTGATGGTGAGATAGAAGTTAGGAAGACAGGAAAGGGAGGCTAGTGAGGGACTGACAGTAATGGTGGGGATCCAGACTCTCAATTAGAGGAAAGACAAACTCATTAAGAATTAAAGGGAGAGGAAAAAGAGAGTATATGATCAAAAAAGGAACTTTTAGATATAAAGATAAATTTTTTAATTCATGCTTTTAAACCAGTCTATTATTATAAAAAGTCTGAGCTACTTTGCCAGATAGATAAACACCTCAATCAGCTCTCCATTTTCGCTGGCTCGTCCAGCTGATGCTTCTTTCATCCTATTCCATCACGTTTTCCATATCTGTATCTTGTCATTCACCATACATTCCTCTAGACATTATCTTCCATTTTATTGAATCTCAAGACCTCCTACAAGAATGTATCCTTAGTTCTGACACTTGTAATGGGCAGTAAATTCATCTTTTTATTGTCTTTCTTTCTTTTAAAATGTTTATTATGTGTCCAGTTTTACAATACGTAATCATAATATCTCTAGTGCATAACAAAGAAAATAATTAGTCATGCAAATTAAAGTTAGGGATTAAAACTTCTACAATCAGTGTGTTGTTATATACATCATATGTCATTTCATCTGAAATAATCTTTTAATTTTAACTATTCAGATTAAGTTTATATATGCAGCAAGATTAGATTACCTGGGTTTTTTTAGACTTAAACAATGATATGATGTGGTATAGTCAATGAATAAAATAAACCAATTAGCCAACTTTGATAAGGAAAGTCCAGTTCAGTATAACCCTAAATATAACCAGTCAGTTGTAATTGCTCTAACATTTGGTCAGCTATAATATCGGATTAGAGAATGGAAGATCTACTATTCCATTGACTGGACTCGCTGGCCTTCTCCAGCCTACTAGTGTCACTTCTGTAAGAAAGAATAATGATATAATGTTGCCATTAATAATATTATTATTACTATAACAATAATAATAACTATCATTTCTTGAGTTCTTACTATAATTCAGTCACTCTGCTGTGTTAAATAATCCATACACTTGCCTCAGAGCTATGTTTAACTACCCCACTTTGTAGAATGAAAAAAGAAAAACTGAAGATCAGTCTACCTTTATAGAAGGGCCTTTTTCAAACCATAGTATATAATACAAATGTCAAAGGTAAGCTGTGAATGGAGCTTTTATACTGATTTTAAGTGCTTTAATACTCTAAAATATAGCCTGGATCAAACTTTCAAACATAATGTTTACTAATTAATGAGTAATTAAATACAAGCAATCCAATCTTTCTGGAAAAATGACTATTTCTTCTGGAAAGAATGTGATTCTATTTTTCAAAAATACCAAACTATATTTCAAGAAAATGAAATATCTTCATAAGGTATGTTGCCATTACAATAACAACAAATCCATAGTATAACTATTTGTTCCTTTTATGATAGAATCTTTAAGCCAGTTTTCCAGTTATAAGACTTACATTCATGGTTTGAACATCATTTTTATGCAGTTAGTTTCCATAAAAATAAGCTAATATTCAGCTTCTTTTATTTTTCTCTACTATTGAAAATATGTGTGGGTTTCCCTCTTCCCACGCAACAGCCTTTTCACCCACATCTTCCTGAGGAGGAAGGGAAAAGAGGAGGGGAGGTGACAGAGAAGTGGGAATGGAGTGTATTCTCACTGCATAACTAAATAAGGGAGAGCAGGAAGTGGTATATTCAGTAAGAGAAGCATTTTCTCCTTAGATAAGTGACTTTCCCCATCTCTAACCCAAAAAAGAAAAATGGGTTTACCGTTGAATTCCTCTTTACCACATCTTCCTGTGTTCATCCTCTCAAGGGATCATAAATTTTATTTGGCATTTCTTTACATCCCTTCCCCCTTTTTTTTTTTTTTGCTTCTAATTTGGTTGTTTTCAACTTGTTTCAATAGATGATTAAACATTTAGAATTTAGGAAGGTTTTGTTTTAGAAAAAGAGCAGTCCATTAACTTAAAATAAGCAAGTACAAATGAACTGCGTTGATGTTCTTCAGAACAACACCTTTACATAACACACCCATTGCAGTTAAAGATGGCTTTTGAATCAGCATTTATATATTCATTTTTAAATTGCTATTTGCATACCTTCTGTGCCATGCTTCTTCACTGTCCTATGAATGCACAGTCCTCTACTTATTCTGTGTAGATATTGCAGCTGCAATGGTGGTGTTTAGATGTAATTATTAATGTAAATAGACAAAACCATCAGTGCACACATGAGCTGTATAGAAAACCATGATACTATTAAACGTTATAATTCTATATTTTTGTTATGGCAGTATATCTGAGTGGATATTTCATTTTCTTGAAACATAATTATTTTTGGAAATTTGAAGTATTTATATTGAGATAGTCATTCTTTCCATCAGTTTAGACTGTTTTTAATTACCTATAAATTAGTAAACTCATGCTTATTAAGTTTAAATCAGGCTATTGCTTTAGATTGTTAGAGCATGTAAAATCAATTTAAAAGCATCATTTAATAGTTTACTTTTGCTATTCTTATTAAAAAAGGCCATCATGACTCAAAGTGATTGAAAGCAAATATTTATTAAATAACATGAGACTTTAAGGGCAAGGTGATAAAATAATCTTAAAAAATCTTCTTGAAGGGGTTAATGAAACGAATTACTAAACTATATATTTATTAGAAAATACTAATCATAAATATTTTATAAATGTGCCATGTAAGTCTTTAGCAAAGGACTACTAAATATGAGTCATTTTTGTATTTTGATCTCAGTAATAAGAACTTCATAATAGATGGTCAGTGAATAAAATTCTCAGTAGAGCCTATCTAATTAAATTTCCTTTTTCATTTGACTTCCACCCTTTACTGAACTCTTCCCCTATATAAATTAATTTCAAAACTTATTCATTTGTGTTCTTTTATTTGTATATTATCTGCCTGATAGTTTAACTTCAGGCATTAAATAAAAAACAAAGTTCAGGGGTGCCTGGGTGGCTTAGTCGTTGAGCGTCTGCCTTCAGCTCAGATCATGGTCCCAGGGTCCTGGGATCGAGCCACACATCAGGCTCCCTGCTCAGCGGAGAGCCTGCTTCTCCCTCTCCCACTCCCCCTGCTTGTGTTCCCTCTCTCGCTGTGTCTCTCTGTCAAATAAATAAATAAAAATCTTAAAAAACAAAGTTCAGTTCCCTTTTCTTTCTAGGTAAATTAGGTCAGAGGCTCTTTTCTACTTGCTAAATCTAAATATTTCTAGGTGTGTTTTTTTTTTAATAGAAATTTCTAGGAGCTTATCAGTCCAAAGCCACAGAAAAACAATTCTATCTACTTTTAGTGTTTTAAACCTCCATATGGTATTTTTATGTTTGAATTTGTTATCATTATCTCTTTCTCCTCCAAAAATGCTTTAGCATTTTTTTAAAAGTTTCCTATGAAATGTAGGTAAGAACATTTTAGAAATTTTGGAGGAAAATTGACATAATTATTACTAGTTGGAGGTGTTACACTATCAGGCCATTTGTCCCTTGAGTTGATGTTCTGGAAATTATAGATAAAAACAAAATTTAAGTAAGCAAAATATAAAAAGTATTCAGTTAGAAATTTCTCTACAGATTTTTCCATTAGTTTTGTAATTTTGTGAGTCAGCTCAAATCTAGTATTGTCTTTATGATTGATTTGTCAGTAAATGCAATATTGACATTTGTTTGGAGGAAATAAAGACTTGCTTAGCTGTACTTGGATCCATTCGGGTACTAATGGTACTGATATTTTTGCTCACATATTGCAATTTTTTTTTTTTGCAGTTTTACTAAAGGGAGGAAAAAAAGAGGAAGAGAAACCATTTAGAGACTGTGCAGATGTATATCAAGCTGGTTTTAATAAAAGTGGAATCTACACTATTTATATTAATAATATGCCAGAACCCAAAAAGGTAAAACCAGAAGTGTTTGTTTACAAGATGTAAAGCAGATCCTAGTTGAATTGCTGAATAATCAGACTGATTTGTGAGTTTGTTAAGCTGAAAATATATATGCCTGAGCTCTTTTCTCCCAAAGATTCTGTTTGCCAGGTCCATAAAGATGAAAACCCTATTGCACAGACCTCCCCCAAACCCAAAGCTCCCATCCCTCTTTCACAAAGTTTTTTATTTATTCTCTGCTCATTCCTGGGATGTCCCATTGCTCATAAATGCTTGCGTTGTCTAGATTACATGTTGAGGTGATATGTACTTCAAGTACATGGAGAAGAGGTAGGAGCAATCTTTCAAGGTCCCAAGGACCCAGATGGCACACATCATCTATAGTCTAAATACTGTGGAGGGGCTGCCAAGGACATATTGCTATTTGTTCCTATTAGGAACAATCACTATTCCTATTAGGGTGGGAGAAACATATTCTATCTTGACTAATCATCTTGATAGGAATTGCTTTTCATGTTTACCTAAAAGAGTGGGTTGGAGGCTAGGATTCATTAGTATGTTGAACAGGACCCAGAGTAAACTTTGAAGTAAGCAAATACTATATTCTTGCTGTTCTATCTCTTTTTCACTATTTATTCATTAAATCATCCATCCATTCCTTCACTCAACATATTAAGTGGATGTCATTTGTCAGTCAGTGCCTAGGAACACAATATAGAACAAACAGATCCCACTGTGGTGCTGAAGACAGATAATTACACAGATAATTATAACAGACTGTAGAAGTGTAGTGATTGAGACAGTCTGTTCAAAGCAGGATTTATGGAGAGATGTAAGGAGAGCCCTGCTCTTTGACATGTTAAAATTTTGCCCAAGATGCCAAGAGAGACCCAAGACTCCAAGAGGACCACCTGCATTTGTAATGCTCCATCCTCAAAGGATGAAACAATTTTCCTCTCCTCTTTGCCCCACCTAAATTACCAGTCCTGCATCCTCATTTCCTGTGGATACTGTGCAAGTGCTCTTGGAAGGCCTTCCCTAATTCCCTCAAGCAGCTTTGCATGACTTTTTCACTAGCAAAGTTCTACAAGGCAAGGATCGTGCCTTTTTGTCTTTGGTTTCCTGGGACCCAGCATAGTTTTGGGCACATAGCAGGTCCTCAATAACTATGTGTTTAAACGAATGAATGAACTTCTGACAATAATATCAACATTTCAATGTAGTATATAGTAAGTAAGCCTAACTTAGTCTTCTTGATTATTAGTCTCCTTTGATGGATGAGAGAAATGAATCTTGGAGAGTAGTTTGCCAGATGTTACATCATTGTCAAGGAGAGAATATGGACTCTACCAGTGTCCTTTCTCTCCTGATTTCAGTAAGGATTAGTGGTTTCCGTTAGCTCAGTGTTTTTTTGTTTCCCTTTGCTGGGACACAATTTTTTTTCTGAAAGGAGGCCTTTCATGCTCTTCCATAATGGGGAAGGAGGGAGAACGTGCAGTGGGCAAAAAAAGCAGTGGTCACAGTTCCATACATTGCTACCTGGGCCACCTACCACAGAAGTTTAGTTTTACTTGTTTTTCGTCTTGGGCTTCTGTGCAAAATCTCACTAAATTGAGTGTTCCATGACTTAAGAAAAAAAAAAAAAAACAACTATGAGGGTTCAGTGGTGAGTCTAGGAGTAAAAAGAAGAGGTTTATTCATTGTGAGGGGGAACCTTTTGGATCCTTTGGATCTTATGACATGAAGCCTTCCTACTCTACTTGCTGACACCTTAGAATCATACTTAAGCTTAAATTCAATTGGTATACACATGGGCATGTACGTACATCCACATACTCCTACACCATACATCTAGCATGTAAAGTTTATCAAAAACTGTCCTGGGGGAGAGGAGCAGAGCTAACATAAATACTCTATAATTTACCTACTTGTGTTCTCCATGACCTGTATTCCCCATGACCTGAAAGAACCCCCAAATTATTGTCAATTCCCCTAAAATATAACTTGGCTATAACAATAGAAGTTAGCTAAAAATATTAAGTGACCCTCCTTTTAGACACTTAATGATTCTGTGATATAATAAAAACAATTTTTAGGGATTTCAAATTAACATTCACACTTTCAGAATCTTTTTCACTCCATCACCCAATCCTGACACATGGCTCCAAGTTTTGACAAAGGGGACATTATAAATAAGTTTTGATCACTCCATGAATTTTAATTCATGTATAACCATAACCAGTGTTTTGAACTATGCTAGTTCAGAACATTTTGAGATGCAAATGATGTGCAGGCTATTTGAAGAACTACTGCTCCTGTTAGGGTGGAAGAAAGGTATATTATCTTAAGTCATAATCTTGAATAAATTTGCTTTTAATATTTACATAAAAGTGTGGGTTGGAGGATCCAATTCACTAGTTCAGTAGCTGACTCCTGTGTTGGTTTCATCAGGATGGCATGATTTAAACTTATACCTCTGCAAAATGATGGATTTTCCATGTGATGGAGCTTCAGGGTTGTTCTTGAATAAATGAGATCTAAAATATTAAATTCCAAATGTCAACTATCTGCTCAGTTAAACTTTAAGGTTTGGGCCTAAGGAAAAATAGTAGCCTGAGCAAGTAAGCCTGTAAGAGGCAAATTCTTATCACTATGGAAATAGCCCCATGACTTTTCAGAGGAAAGAAGCTCACATGGCATTTGGTCAGGACTATCATTAGATTTTAGTTTTATTGGAAATAGCAGAGCATGGTGAGAGGGAGAGATCACTGAGCAGAAGGGAGAAAGACTTAGGTCTTCTTGACTTAAGTGTTCCTTCCTTTGTTTTATTCTTTCCCATTTATGATCACAGATCTTCTCACAAATAGTAATGTTGTTCTATTATGGAAACTTTAGACTGATAAACCAGCACTTTTCATAGATAGCAATTTTTTAAAACATCTCATTTATCATAGCACCAGTAAGAAAAATTATTGTGTGAATTTTCCCTGGTATAATTTAGAAGCTGGTTAATAAAGTAGTTCAAATGCATTTACGGTTTGCCAGGTATATTCTAAGCACTTTAGATGCAAAAACTCACTTGTTTACTCTTTTCAGTAACTCTATGAGATGGGTGTTCCCATTATCCCTATTTTAGAAAAATAACTTGCCCAAATCACATAATTAATAGATACTGAACACAAGCTTTGTAATAAAAGCAGCAACTCCAGACTGTATCTCTTAGCAGGGGGCTAAATGAGATAATTATGTTAGTGGTGACTGAAGTTGCACCACTTATAATTTCTTTAATCGGAACCTATATGAGTGACACAGGAAAGAGTTTATTATCAGAAAATTATGTAAAATTGATTCATGTTCTGATTATAAACCACCCTGCTCCTTCCTACCTTGTAATCTCATTTTCTTCTCCTGCGTTGATATAAATCATTGAAATTCTCTGAATCCTGTAAAAAGTGCTTGGAAAATGCATCTTTATGATCGTCACTCTTCCCAGTAAATTGTGCATGGTAGATATAAAATTTGGTGCTACGTTTGGATATGCTTAGCAAAAGCTTTGCTTATTGTTATGCTTGCAGAAGTTCTAGCAAGGGTATGAAACTCAAGGCAAGCTTATAAAAAATAAAACAATTTCAAATATGTAAGATCTGGGATATGGACCAATCAATAAAATTGGGCTATTTAGGCAGCTGACAAAAGCTATTAAGAGATACTCATCTTGTAAGCAGAGTAAGAGTCGCATGCATACAGAATTGATATACATTTATTTTTCTAACTGACATCATTCCCTTCCAAGAAATGATGTCTGAAAATAACTGTTATCTTTCCAAATGAGATGAAGGCAGTTTTCTAAGACTAATTTTTCAAGCAGATCAAATATGAGAATTAAATCATTTATGTATTTATTTTCTACCTTTGTAGTACTAATGGCTGTGGTTATTTTCTCTCTGAATTCCCTTCAATGCATAGTAGTAGGAAATAGGATTTTTCCTTCTATTTCATCAGTTTCTAAAACCAAAGGCTTTCTAGCCAGCTTAGTTTCATCCAAAAATTCAAACCATTAAGTCATAACTCTGCTTATTATAAAATATTAAAAATTTGTTTCTGAATTGTGAGTCCCCTAATTCTTGGAAAAGGACCATGACAAATGTGTTGAGCCTTTTTTTTTTACTTAAGGTTATGGAAAAATAATTAACATCCTCAAGCCTGATCATTCCAACTTGTATGGAGCATAAAACCATAAGAACTATGTGAATCAAATTTCCCCTTTTTGTTTGGGTTTAAATCTCTGTATTATGTTAAAAGGTATTTAATGCTTGAAAGCTTTGACCTTGCCTGGGATAGGAGCCAGTTCAATCTTTTCTTGGATAGAGTTAAGCCCAAGTCATATGATCAATAAATGCAACAGGCATAGTAAATGTAGTGGGGCTCTTGTCTCCAGGAAGGCACCACCAGATAGCACAGACCACACAATATTGGCGAATGAACTTTTCAAGTCCTTTCATGTCTCAAATCTTTTGAAACCAGCCACCTATTTTCTTAAACTTCCTTCATCTGTTAAGCATAGGCTTTTTTATTTTTCTTCTGACTAGAAATAACATGTTTTTTGGTTTTTTTTTTTTTTTTTGGCTAGAGTGAATTCAACTTCTTAGATAGATATGTAATAAAAAGAGGCATGCTCAGAGATTAACAATGTCAATATTATTATATTTATATTATATATTACTATATTAATCAAAAATATAGAAAATACATATTATATAAAATATAAATTATATAAAATACATTAATACATATTAAGCTGGTGATCTTAAGGACAATTTATTGAACTATTATATGTTTTGATTTCATACATTCCATATTATTCTTATTATAAACAATAAATTATATGCAATGGTATATATAATAGTAAACTATGCTACAATATGTAAGATATTATATGCAGAGTATATAATGCATAATGTAAATACATACTATCTCATATGTAAAATACATCTAAGAAATGAGGGTCATGGCAAAGCCTATTATGTATCAAGCACTATTCTAAAAATTCTACATGCATTGACTCATTTAGTCCTTGCAAAAACCTAAGTGATAAAGAGAACAGAGTTGGGATTTGAACACAGGTAATTTGGTACCCAAGTTCATGCCCCTAACCAATACGCCCTTCAGCTCTATTGTGACCATATTCCACAATGGCAGCTATTATTATTACTGCTGTTACTGAGTCATAATAAGAACTGTGGAGCAAATGTCCAACATCTTACCTTCTCTGCACCTCAGCTTCTAACACAATAATCCTCCTGGGGAACTTCTGCCTCCCCATGTAGCTCCGACTCTCTCTGGGCCTTTATCTAAGAAGTACTCTTAGCACATCTTAACATTCTCAAGTCACTGAATATATTTGTTTAAAAGGAAATTGGTCTTTTTCTAAAATTTGTGAATAATTTTAAAACTTTAAGTGCATAGAATTCTAATAACATAGATAATAGTAATAACAAAACTGTGAAGAATAGTTTCCTCTGCACATTACATATTGATAAATGTAGTTATTCCTTTCCCTGAGTAAGTAAGTGGACTTTATAGCTTTGCAAACACAGGTTAGCAAAGTTCCAGGCAATTAGTGTCCATTTAGAAGAAAATCTGGAAAAAAAATTCTGGATTAACCGGTCAAGGCAGGGTAAAAATTTAATTAAGAATCAAGTGGCACTAGTTACCTCTAGCAAAATGTTTCCTTGACATTTTCACTGACTCTTATTTAAGTATCTCCAGTAAAGTTCCACCTTGGCCACTTGTCTTGGATCACCACCTATGCCCTCTTTAAACTGTGCCCTCTGGGTTTTATTCTCATAGGAATCCTGCAGTCTGTCTCCTCAAGGTCACTAATGACTCCTTCATTTCAAATTTAAGTGTGTATTTTCCTCATCTTGATTTGTCTTGACTTCTCTGGAATATTTGATAAGTCGATCTCTTCCCCAAGTCAAAATCCATCCTCAGCTTTCATTGCGTTAATCAGGTTTTCCTATTTTATCTTTCCTTCTTGCTTCTCTGTTTATTCAACAAATATTCATTTAGTACCCAGTATAGGCTAGGCACTGTTCTAGGCACTGGGGACAGTGACAAATGCCTACCTAAAGGTTATTGATGTATTTTACCTCCATCAGTTCACCAAAGCCCATTTTTGGAAACTCCTCCTTCCTGCACATATACATCTCTTTCCATTTTTTCTTTACTTCTTTAAATAATCCATTTTCATGTTATCAACTATTGTTCTCAAGCAGATTACTCCCAATACAGTTTTGAATTAGATAAAAAAATAAGTGAATGAATCAATTAGAATTGAGGAGGAGGAAAGACTAGCTAGAAGTTGTGTTGAAGACAAACAGTGGGTACCGAATAGTTAAGGGATTAGTCGAGGGGGAACCTTGGGACAGAGAGTAGAATTTCAATTTATAATCTTGAAGGTGAGTCAATTCCTAGGGACAGTAAAGATATACTGATGGGTGACTGTTGTCAAAATAGAGGAGGAGCCCTCTAGAGAGCAGTTTGCCTAATTTATATGCTCACAAATAGTCATGGATCTCTTAGTTCCTTTCACTCTGAGGAAGTACATGGACAATTTGTCCTCTGAATGACAGTTGTTGCCACTGTTTTCATACCCGTTAGCTATTTGTGCTCCAAATTGAGGGCTTCAGGGAAAACGCTTGAGGTTTTGCCCTTAATCATAGCTGAGCTCTGTGCCCACCCAGCCTGTCTGCCTCTGTTGCATCATATCTACACCTTTAGCCAGCCTCCAAAATGCCTTAGTCATCAATTGCCTGGGGAATGGTGTTCTCCATAGCTGGGACCTTGAATAATCAAACTGCCACATCCATGCTACGTCAATTACAGTGATTACTCTCTAAAGATAATCCCATTACAGATATGTTTCTCTCCTTGGGTAGACTCGGGGGAAATGAATCGATTTCTAAATAAATACTATTGTTTTAGAATAATTGAAATGAGCATAAGTCTTTGAAAGCGTTGGATAACTTTCCACATGGGGAAGAAATGCTTGTTGAAGTCAAAAATACAGTATGTCATATTCTCCTATTATTGTTCATGACGAAAATTCAAGCAAATAATATGTTATCCATATGCTATGGACCAAATTTTGCCTCTAATGTAATACTGAGCCATCAAGAATAATTATTGTAGTATGTAACTGTATAGGACTTAATGTGCAATGAAATATGTAATAGCTAAATATATATGATTTTTTAAAAATTATTTTTCCAAAATCTTTATTATTATTATTATATAACCATTTCAATTAATTAAAAACTTAAGAATTCTGAGTCTTATGTTTTGGCAATAAAATGGTCTGTAATTTTAGAAACCTAGATAGCATTTTTAAAAATCGAACATACGTAAGTGCCTATTACTATTTAAGACAGAGATTTTTAAAAATAATTTTTATAATCTGAGACTAAGACAGTTTTCAGCTGACTGATTTAAATTTTTACAAGTAATTTAAGTTATATGATGGAATTTAATCAAAACAATTCTCATGTAAAACAAAATAACTGATAAGATATCTAAGTTAACATTTTTCAACATAGTAATTTTTATTCAATTTATCTATAGGCCTACCCATCCTATTTCTGTTTCGAGACATATCTGATACTTATCTCTTTAAAACAGACATAATTTTCACTTGACTTTATTTTCCCTGCATCTATCAGGTATTTTGCAATATGGATCTTAATGGAGGAGGTTGGACTGTAATACAACGTCGTGAAGATGGAAGTCTAGATTTCCAAAGAGGTTGGAAAGAATATAAAATGGTAAGATGGAAGAGTTTACATAGTTTCTGATGTTTTACCATGAGGTTATCTTCACCATACTATGTGATAAGCCCTTGTATTTTTAGGTGTTTTTCAGCTATTTTAAAAATAAAATGATACATTAGTCACATTATTTTTATTAAACACAACACACTCATAAATCATTTTCAGTAAATGATTTCCATATGTGCATCAGAAAGAAAAATATATTACCGAAATTATTTGGTGAACTGTTATGTATTATCTGGATTTGTTCCTGGTTGAATGAGGGTGGGGGAAGCTAGGACCCAGACCCAGGCTGGGTACATGAACCAGGACAAGGGAGGTGTGCTGGGCTGTGGATTATGGAGAGGTACTAATGGTGGCCTCACGCACATAGCTGGCAAGTTGTTGCTGGGTGTTGACTAAGAGCTCCTCCATGTGGCTGGGTTGGGCTTCTCTCAGTATGGTGATTCAGGGTCATCAGACTTCTTATCTGGCAGTTGACATCCCTCACGCACAAAAATCGAAGCTTCCACACCTTTTTAAGGTCTATTAGACCCAGAAATTGCACTGTATCACTTCCACTGCTTTCTTTGGTTAAAGTTACTGACAGGGCCAGTCCACATTCAAGATGATAGGAATGCACAAGGGTGTGAACTGTGAGGAATGGTTCCTTAGGGGTCTCCAAAATAATAGCAGACATCATGGTCACCGTCACTGTCATCATAGCTAAAGTTTCCAATGGTTAATATGAGCCAGCCCTGTACATAAATTCTTACTCACTTTTTTTTATATCAAACCTATTAGCTGTCTCCATTTTAAGAGGAAAGTGAGCAAGTTGGGAGATCAGCTTTTCCAAGATAATATAGTAGATGGTTTAAATAATGCATAATACAATAATCATATAGTCAATGCCTACAATATTAACTATTAAAATCAGCTGACAGGGGCACCTGGGTGGCTCAGATGGTTAAGCGTCTGCCTTCGGCTCAGGTCATGATCCTGGAGTCCCGGGATCGAGTTCCGCATCGGGCTCCCTGCTTGGCGGGGAGTCTGCTTCTCCTCCCTCTGACCCTCCTCCCTCTCCTGCTCTCTGTCTCTCGTTCTCTCTCTCTCAAATAAATAAATAAAATCTTTAAAAAAAAAAAATCAGCTGACAGAATGTCAAGATACAATAATGGAAGAGGCTTCCATTTATGGATTTATTGTCATATTTTACATCTAATTGTTCTGGATAATTCTTGTCTTGACCAATTTTTGACAAATTCCCTTCTCAGAAGGTAAAGAAAAAGGTGAAGAGGCATGTTGTACAGTCTAAGTTCTGTCTTGATATTCTTTTAGAAAATGTGTAAAAATTGTAGTTAATCAGCATCACAGTTTATACACTAGTAAGCTCATAGTTGGCCAAATGACAGTTAAAATGATTTTAATAAATGAAGAGGGGGTCTCTTGTGGTGTCTCTGTGTCTACAATATTTTTTATCAGATACCCAGTTGAACACTATGAACGTAGGTTAATAAAGTTTGGAGTTATACAAAGTTGGAACCTGATGTCTTCAATAAACCATAAAATTCCGTGTAGAAAAGAAGGCTACAGCCAGCAAGATAGAATTCTACAGAGATAAATGTAGTCTTTCACCTAGACCAAAAATACACAAAATTAAGTGAGAATATAGGATAAAAGTGACAAATTAGCTTAAGAACCTGGTATTTGAAAGTCTGGATAGATTTACTTGACTATAAGCTCATTTTGTGTTGTTGGCTACTAACAATTAAGACCAGTGTATTCGGGCTACATTAATAGTTTGTGGTCTCAAGAAATGCAGAACTCATTGGTGTCTGCCATAGTCTGGTTACATCAAGAATATGCTTTAAATTCTGGTGGATTTCTAACAAATGAACTTATCCTATGAGGTACAAACAGGATGAATCAATGGGGCTCTAACTTGTAGAAAAAAAAAAGGAATTAGGTATAAACCTGTCTGATGGCTATTTAAATTGACTGGTTGGAGGTAGATGTACTAGAGCTTGCTTCTCACAGTGCAGTCCAGAAACCAGCAGCACTAGCTTTGTCTGGGAGCTTATGAGAAATGCAGCATCTCAAGCTCCATCCTAGACTTCCTGAATTAGAATCTGCATTTTAACACTTCTTTAAAGAGGGAAGCTCCATAATGAATGGAAGAACATTCTAGAGAGGCAAAATTGACTGCTTATGGACAAAACTCTCTTAGGATTCTTTCCAACATGAATGGACTGTCTATTGAGTGGTGAGGACCTCTCGTCAGTGGAAAAACCCCAGTAGAAAGTAAGTCACCAGGACTGTTACAGAGAATATTGGTTCTACTCTAAGGTCTCTTTCTGCTTATGTGATTCTAAGAACATATGGGAAAAATTTAATCTAAGTTCTAAAAAAGGACATCGCATTATGTCTATATCAGCAGTTTGAGTCTTCACTCTACCGTTTACAAACGGAGTGTTTTTTGGCAAATCATTTAACCTATACCTTAACTTCCTCACTAGTTAAAAGGGGGTATTAATGATAATACCTCACCTGCCTTGCAGGGATGTTGTGAGGATTAATATAAATAAAGCATTTGGCACACTAAATTTTCAGTAACCAGTAGTTATTACCCAAGATTAAGACATCAAAGACTCCAAAATTTTTACTTAACTCTGCCAAAAATATTATTTGGCAAGCTACCTTAACTCACAATTATTTTCATCATTAAAATGGAATGCGAACAAGTCATCTGAGAATCAGACTATAGATATAGGTTCAGGCAAATCTGAAATACATTATTATTAATATCAATGATAATAGAAAAATTAATATAAAGTTATCATCGTGGTGACTTTCCAAAATGCTGCATTATTATCTGCTGCCTTGGCAAACTAGGCACAGTAAGTAAGACAGACTAACATATGAAGTACAGCATTGATTCATGTCTTATAAGTATTTACCAGATATGTATGTATTTTAAGCAATATTTTTTCATCATTTGACTGAGGCTGAATTATTCTTTAATTATAGTTTTCGGGGAATTTACCCCGCTCCCTTTTTAAAAAAAATAGAAAGACTACCTTATTTCATTCAAACTAGAATAGTTTATCAGCTGAGTGTCCATTCTGCATGGTCAGAAAATTGAGATAAGCTCCAGAAATCTGAAATATTTTGGCAAAAATGAGTCTGCTTTTTTTTTTAATTAAGAGAATTCATCGCATGTCACAACTTGGTTGACTTTCACCAAAACACATGGTAGAAAGTGTTTCCGTTGTTTTCCTCCAGAGCTTTTTACCTAAAGACCAAATAACCTGAGTCCAAAAAGAATGTAGGCTCCTTTATGCTCATTCTTATCAGTCACTCCCACTTCCGTTCCCTGCTTCAGAACTGGCTGCTAAGGTGCGCATCCTTCGGGAAAACACGAACAGAGTTCTTGGCAGGCACCATTTCCTCCCCAATCTTCACTCATCTACTGGTGCACACGAAGATGCTTCACCTCTTTCTTGAGCCCTGAGTCCAGAAATAAAATTTCACCCCTCCTTCCTTTCTGCCTTTCTTCTCTCCTTCTCTTCATTCCGGTTGATATCTATGGGCTGCCTCTTTCCTCATAAGGTTTCCAGAACAGTATGTTAAGATTATCAACACATAAATTACAAATACATATTGTAATTTATTATGTTTAAATCTCTCTGAACATGGAAGATTTGCAATGTATTTGGTTCTTAACATTGGCTTTAAGCCTACAAAAGTCTTTTACCTGAGCTTTGTTTTCACTTAACCTTCCTTAAGAGGGGATTCAGCAAAATCTGGTTTATGGATTTGTAAAGATGTTTGCAGAGGGAAGTCTGCAGTGGGCCTTTTTAATGAGGCACTTAGGGAACCATATTAACTCTTTCAAGCCATGAGGATACCATTTAGTGGCTTCCAGCAATAACACTTATCAGCAGTACTTTTGCATATATGAAGCCAAATCCAGTTAGAAGTTCCAAATAGTACCCTAGTGGCCTAACTTTATAGAAGGTGGTGACTAATACCCTGGAGACAACCTGACTTTGTATTGAAAACAGTTACCCCCATAAACAGAGCTTCCTATTGACACAAATATTTCAGTCTGAGCACCATACCTTCTGGGAGTTCTTAGTTTCTGGAAAGAAATTGAGAGCATATTTTGAACTGCTTTTTAACATCTTCACATTAAAAAGAGAAAAATATATAAGAAATTTAAAATGTTGAAATAAATCATCCTTTTGATCTTTCTTGGGCTGAGTGTCTCAGCAGTTAGAGGAGATACATGATTCAGTTGTGTATTAAAGCACCTCTGAAAAGCCACAGATCAGTAACCCTGCTTCATATCTGTTTTCTCTAATCGTTTATATGAAAAAAGATGAAACCCATAGAATACATTAACTGTGTCTGGTTTCAATTGTGTTTCAGCTATAGAAAGTCAACACTTCCTATGAGCATTATCAGACCAAAAATAATAATAATAATAATAATAATAATAAAGCAACAAAGTATCAGAGACAATTACCTTATTAACTTGGAAACATACAACCAAAACTGAATATTTCTGCAGGTCTTGGCAAAAACTAATGACTATCGATCTTTCTTCTGTGTGCATTTTTTATTAATAATATATGGGTTTTAGGGCCAACTTTAAGTCAGCATTAGTCTAGGTTAAGTTCCAGTGTCTTTTTTTGCCTTTTATTAAAGAGCTAAAGGAGAAGATTACCAATCTGTCTGAATTATGGTATCAAAATTTTGCATATGATTGTGATTGAAGTAACTAATTATAATAGTTTTCATGGAAGGATATGACCTAGCATCGTTGGATTTTTTTATAGAAAAGAAGAAATTCTAGTTTTATTACTATTTTTTATCATTTTGGTAGACACTTGCTGCTTTTTTTAGCATCACCACTGAATTTTGTATAAGCTTTTATTTTTATTCATGTAGATATTACAGGCCTTTTGGAATAAAATAGAGACCTATGGTAAGCTGTTATGTGTGCAGTAAGGTATGACCTGTTTTTTTTAGGGGATGTGGCCATCTCTGCATTTCAGGCATCAATATACATTTTTTTCAAGGACAGTCCCATAATATATAATCAAAACGTGTCTTATTAACATGGAACTTCATATGAAGATAAGATTTTATGCTTCTCTCTTTCCTGTGCGCCACTCAGATAATTTGATCTGGTTTATATATTTTTCCTTATTTGCATGCAGAATAGCTATTCTGCATCATAATTATATGATTCTTCACCTGTGGTACACAGCACACTCACCCATGGAACCTTTCAAATGTATGTATCTTTAAGCGCACCCCAGACATACGGAGCCAAACTTCCGTGTGGGAACCAAGTCATCTATATTTTTAAAAAGCTCCACAACTGTTTCTGATATGCAGTCCTGGTTGAAAGCAAATGTCAAAACTATCAATTTATTGGCATGCGTGTAAGATCTCAAAAATTACCTCTTTTGTAGATCTAAAACTTATGAGATATAGAGAGAAAGAGATTAAAAGAAATAGGACCAAGGGAGAGTTGGAGGACACAGCTTCTCCCTGGCCTTAGGAAGCAGAAGCAAGAATAAAAAGTAGTCTATGCATTGGTTTATGGCACAGTTTAGCCCCCGTGTCAACCAGTTGATTTTAATTTGTTATTTAATAATTAACTTCTTGGATTAAAATGACAGTGCTCATTTATGTAAACCAACACTCAATTTGTCATAAGAATACATTAGTTCCTAGCATCTGAAAGCCTTTTAAATAATTGTTTCAGTATCCCCTTACTAATTTTCAGGCTAAGACATGATCCTGGACTATTTTTGTTCCCTTTCTCATACAGAGTAGAAAGAAACCTACTTCTCCTCAAATAGTTCACAGTCTGGTGGGAGAGAGGCAAGTAAACAGAAAATTACTATGTATTTGTGATATATCCTTTAACTATAATAACAACGAGAATTTTGTTGTTCTCCTGTATCAGCATTGAGCTAAACACTTTAGGTATCTTATTTCTTTCTCACAACACTATATATGGAAATGACATTTTTAATCCCTGTTTTGCAGATAAGGAAACTGAGGCTAAGAAGTAGTATCGGAGGTTCCACAGCAAATATGGGGCAGAGCAAGGCTTCAAGTTGGAGCAGAGATAGGGAGTAGAAGTTATTTAATCAAAGCTAAGCCTTTGTTCCTAGGCATCGCATTGGTAGTGTGCCTGATAAGCTATCCAAGAGACAGTTTACTAATGTGGGAGCCCATTTTCCCTTCTTTGACTTATTTTTCATCTCTGTGATAAAACAGTTGTTTCTGCATGGCTGCACTTAGCTTTTAGAAAGCTTCCTCTACCCTGTCTCTCTAACAGCCATTTCAATTCATTGTAGCCCAACATTTTGTTCCCACAATAGAGCATGTTTAGACAGTTTTTCTGGGAAGGTGCATGAAATAGAATTTTTATTTCTAAAATCAAATTTTGTTGCTCTCTTTTCAGTTGCTCCCTCCTCTCTTTTCACTCAGAAAAAACAAACTGTTTAGGAAGGGATGTTACTCTCTATGTAGAGGGAGGAGAAGCCTGCATGCCAAGCTGGGGACCGAGGCTCCCATAGGAATGACATGAAGGCTTATCCATTTCTGAGGCTCACTGGAGATCACTGCCCTTGTCCCTGGGGAAGCTGGACAGTTTTATCCATGCAGAGCTTTCAGCAGCACGGAAATAATGTGGCCTAGAACTTAACACTTCATCATTCCCAGCTTCCTTATTCACATTTAGTATGGTTGCTGACTCCCTTCTAACTACGCACAAGAGGGAATCCTCCAGTGGCTAGAGGGAGAGTTTGACACGTCTGAGCTGAGAAGATAATGCAAGGAAAATCCCAGCAGTCTTCTTTTTCTTCCCAGTGGCTGCTGCAACTGAGAATGTGCTAATTCTTTGACTTTCAGTGCCCTGTAACTTTCTGTTTTGCTTATTCACTGGAGAAGGTAAGCTTCACTCTCCTTCCTGTTTTGTAGCACCGCTGCCACGAAAATGTGTAAAATTCTTAGCACATCCTAAGTTGCTCTAATATTCCCTGCCACTGTGGAACTTTGGCAAAGTATGACTTGTGCATCTTAGGAACAGAGAAGCAAGGGAACACTGGAACACTGACTTCTATGGATCCCATAGCTTTGCTCTGAACTACAGGTAGATGGTCTTCAGGGGAGCATATGCCCAGTGCAATCTGAATGAAGTGTTTGAGTTAATTAAAAACTAAGTTAAACTGGGGAATAACTTTAAAAGTTTGCTTACATATGCTAATGCATTCCATTTTAACTTTAAGTGTACAATTATATTTTCATTTACCTATTTTTTAAAATGTAGGGCCAAAGCCTGGAATTCTGGGTCAGTGGTTCTTTCCTAGAACTTTCCCATAATTAAATGCATCAAATTTCTACCTTCTGTTGTTTGTTTTTTTTTAAACTAGAGCAAGTAAGACACATGCAAAGCAATGTAAGTTAAAATCCTCTAATGTTTTATTATTTTTCTAGTCTCTTAGAGTTGCTGCAACAAACATAATTCAAAAGCATTTTTTTAGTGATTTGCTTTTATTGAGCAAACCTAATGTTTAAGTTTTATCAAAACAAAACAGAACAAAACAAATGACTCTTTTTCCCACTAATATTTAAATTATTTACATAAAACTGTGAGTCTTACCATTACAATAACAGAGCTGGTGTAAACGGTTTGGTGACCCAAAACAATGGACATTTAGTAAGTAACTCAGTTGGCAGAGACAGTAGTATACAAATGTATTAAATGCATTTAATTTACTTTGGGCATCAATATATTTTATTTTATTTTTTTTTAAGATTTTTTATTTATTTGACAGAGAGAGAGCACAAGCAGGGGGAGTGGCAGGCAGAGGGAGAGGGAGAAGCAGGCTCCTGCTGAGCAGGGAACCTGATGTGGGGCTCGATCCCAGGACCCTGGGATCATGACCCAAGCTGAAGGCAGTTGCTTAACCAACTGAGCCATCCAGGATCCCCATCATCAATATATTTTAAAGAAGGAGGGGAGAACACTGTTTCATGTTTAGGTTTGTTAAAGGGGAAAGCAGTTAAGAATACTTCTACTGTAGGGGTACCTGGGTGGCTTAGTCGGTTAGGTATCTGACTCTTGTTTTTGGCTCAGGTCAGGATCTCAGGGTCCTGGGATCGAACCCCTCACTGGGCTCCATGCTGATCATGAAATTTGCTTGAGATTCTCTCCCTTGTCCTCTGCCCCTCCCCTCGTTCTCTCTCTCTAAAATTAAATAAATGAAATCTTTTTAAAAAAGAATACTTCTACTGTGGTTATAATTCTATAAAGTTGATATACATTAAATTAAAAAAACAGTTTCTAAATTCCATCATCTGTGTTGAGAAAAGGAGGATTGCTTTGGCTATCTTAGTACTACCCCCATACTTCTTAATATGGATAAAGTAAAATCTTTATAAATGAATACCTCAATTAACAGAATCAGTTTCTTTCTGAAATGTCAGAGTATCTCCTGCGGCGCTGGAGGTGTGCCTTCCAAATATTAAGGTACACAGGGACAAACAGGGAGCTTGTTTGGATGCAATGGAGCTGGTTCTCAAATATTTTGATTCAGTGTGAAGCCAGGATTTTTCTTTTTTCAACCAGAGCTCCAGTGATTATGATTCAGTGGGCACCTTAAAAAACACCTCCCTGAGACTCAGCCAAATTACTTATGACATGAATTATGTTTTAAGGTTACTTCTCTGAATGTCATTATAAAGTGCTATAGTATTTTCCTTCCTCCCTTCCTTCCTCCCTCCCTCCCTTCCTTCCTTTCTTCCTTTGAACGTCAGTGAAGCATATGGAGTACCAGTGCATGCCAACATTCCACTAGTCACAAATACAGCACAGCTTCTGTCCTCAAGGAGCTCACAGTTTGGTCAGTAAGACAAACATGTAGTTCAAGAATTACACTCAACTTCAAGCATTACCAAGGAATACTTTTGGGGATTCAGAAACTGAATACCCAAATCTAGAATGCCAGCAGTTTCTTAGCGTTCCTTATTTTCCTATCACTAACATAACCAACATTAAGAGTTGGTTTTCCTTTGGGGACCACTTCCCCCCCCACCCCCCCGCAAAGAAACAGTTTTTGAACACTTAACAACCATGATTGGGCTTTGCCTGCAGAGAACAAGAACCACGTTAAGATTCAGGTGCAGAGAAGTCAGCGAGGTTCACTCACTAGCTCTTATGTGTCAACCTGCCTCAAAACCCAAATCCATGCCAGTGAAACATTTAAGTGACTCTAGTCCTGGATTTACAGGTTTGCTTATTAATATTTAAAAATGAAAATATTAAAGTTAGAAAAGTCAAGGGTCTAGTAATATGTTTACGTTATTATCTAAGCATAATTTGACTCCCAAATAATAATAGTAATAGCAACAACAACAGAAACAATGATATTGTTAAATAATTTATCTGACAATATTCATTGAAAGTGTATAAATTATGTTTAAAATATTCTGTTAACTAGTATTTTAGAAACATTTTCAAAAGCAAGCTGTGACTAAGTGTTTACTGGTCAAACCTATTAACCGGATTCATTTAATCTGAAATCATCTTACCTACACAGATTTGAATATCAGCCTTTTACTGTAATAAGAATTCGACGCAGGGCTCAATGGAGGGAAACATAGCAGAAAAGTATTGAGTCAGTAATCGGAAAAAAGTGTGTAAAAATGTGAAAAATGACCTTTACTATTAAAGAAGTTTTTCTTATTATTTAGAACGTAGTTAATACTGAACCTGATAAGAGGTTTTCTCTAAAATAACAACCACATCTCTATCTCCTTTTGTAGGGGTTTGGAAATCCCTCTGGCGAATATTGGCTGGGGAATGAGTTTATTTTTGCCATAACCAGTCAGAGGCAGTACACACTAAGAATCGAGTTAATGGACTGGGAAGGAAACCGAGCCTATTCACAATATGACAGATTCCACATAGGAAACGAAAAGCAAAACTACAGGTAAGTCCTCCTTCCATGTAGGGCTCAACTGCCTTGGGCCTTGTCACCTACTAGTTACAGTGGAAAAGTGTGAAAGACAAAAATGATGCAAATCATGCTTCAAAATGAAAATTAGGTTGTCTAGGCCTATGGTAGTTATAATAAAAAAACTCAGTAAATACTTCTAAACAGCGTTAAATTTCAGTTTTCACAGATGGATTGTTTTGGTGTTGGCTGAGATTCTAGAGGATGAGGAATTGAGTCCAGCACAGTATTACTGTTGTCGTAGTTCTTACTGTTATTACTGTGATGAGATCAGTGCCGTGAATTCATACATACAAAATTGATGACAGAGAATTGACTCAGACTCAGTGGCTTGAAATAAGTACACGTCTATCAAAAGATTTTCTACTTACACTTTATTTACCTTTATTAAATTATTATTTTTTCACATTATTTATAAAAGTGACAAAGGAGAGGTAAAATGTTATGTTTTTATATGACTTACATAAAAGATAAGGTGGGGCATAATTTAGAAATTTTTGGCAAATGTGAAAGCAAAAATAAATTCAAATAATGGTATCAATATACACAATACATCATTGTAGATGTACAAACAGACAAACTATACACTTTCCTATTAACATCTCTGATTTTTTTTTCAATGGACAGCTTGTACACTAGAAAAAAACTAAGCAAATAATGCAGTATCGTAAATTCATTCCCCAAACCCTTATTGTGTTACTTCTGTGTTCCAGGAACCCTACTAGGCACTGCTAATTTTCCAGTGGGTGATGAGATCTCTAGTCTCCCAGACTGCACAGTACAGCTTTGTAACTAACTAAGTCACTAAATACTGGCTGGCATTCCTTGAGAACAGGGAATATGTTTCTGTTACTTTTATATCACTACCCATTAATGCAATACTTGGTACATAGCAGGTCCTTAATAATTGTGTGTGACTGAGTTTCATAATCAGTAAATTAATGTTGCAATGATTTCTAACTCTCTGTATTGTAACTACTCTACATAAGTTTTGGATTGTGTACATTAAAGCATTGTTACATAGCTTCAAGCAAAATGCAGTGACAGCAACCAAAGCCTTCTATTCTTTTTCCAACCTGTGTGGACATCTTGTAGCTCAACGATTTCTGCTGCTTATATCTTTTTGAGACATACTATTCTTGTAGAGTTTGAATCTACAACTTTTTCATGACCACATCTCATTTTAATGGATTATGCATGGGATTGGATCCTTGGAGACATATCTTGACAAACAGTGATGATGTCACCACAACAGAGGGATGAGAAATGGATCCAAAGGGTTTTCATCGCCTTGTGAGAGGGTAGTGAGGGTGTACATAATGGCAACTCAAGAAACCAAAGAAGAGACATTTATAACATGCAATGGAGTGTAAGAAGAAATATTTCCAAGGAGGTCAATATTTGGGGAGTTTTATAACAAGAGAAACCACTGTAAAACATCAGGGGTACTCTTATGTAAATGTTTTAACCTGAAACTTGAAACTCTATGAAACTTGGCTAATGTCAGACAGCCTGACAATAGGACTAGCAAATAATTAGTCTAGTCTTTTTCTAGGCTCCTGAAGAATTTGCTTTGGTTCTTTTCCAAAATCTCTCTCAGTTCTTAGTAGGTAGATAGGTGTGTGTGTCTGTGTGTGCCTGAGTGTGCACACGCGTATGTGTTTGTGAGGCTGTGGTGGTATGAAGACAAAGAGTGCACGGACTGGTTTAGGAAGATTGTCAGAATCCAAAGTAGGCTTTAGGGTGTGTGGTGTGAATGTCATTCTGGCATCTGCTTGAGGAAGGAGCACTTACTTCCTCTTAGAATGCCCCACTGCCCACATTGAGCATTTCCCATTCCTTCGCTGTATGATTCTGACCTTCACCCACCTAATGCAGATCTATGATTGATAAGCAAGTCTTCCCAGATAGAGCGAGGCACACACTCTGGGATCCCAATTTTTCTTTCTTGAGACAACTATGAACCTAGAGACTCAGGATTGTAAATCCAGAAGGCACTTAATACTTTAATTTCCAATCCTCTGGGTTGTCAAGAAAAGAAAGTTGAGATCCAGAAATATGCAACATTGTTCCCAAGGAAGGAGAAAGACTTAAATAGGGAATGTTTGACTCCTACCTAGTTTGGTGTGGTTTCTATTCTGTAATGCTGCTGTAATAAATTTGATAGCTCTGGCCCTGTCTCCTGCCAGGACCCAGCAGAAAATAGGTGTGTAATCATCACCTTCTTATGCAATTAAGTGTAAGATTCATGTTGGCATCAAATGGGAAGTTAGAACTCATTTAAACATAATGTCTATTCTGGTGAGAGCTTACTGAAAATAAGCACACTGTAAAATGGTCTTATTTACTCTTTCAAAGAAAATCAATCAGAAGCTTGAAAAGGGTGTTTACCCTTGTGACTTCCCTCTCCACCTGGATCATCACTCACTCAAGCCAGGAACACCAAGCATGGCCTGAGTTAGAGCTCCAGATGTCCAACTTTGCTGCTGCTTTCCCCCCACTTATTTCTCTTCCTTCTGAATTAGAAAGGAATGTCTCATTGTGATAATTCGTTAAAAGAATTAGTACTAGCATTTGTATAGTGTCTTATAATTTACGAAATGGTTTTTAACACTTTAGACATTCAGTCTTCACAATGAATTTTTGAGGTAGGTATTACTAGACACATTTAAAGAAACTGAGGCTTTGGTCAACTCACCTGCTCAAACTCAAGTAAATTTCAACTAAAAATGGAGCTATGGAATTCATGTTAGATTTTAGGTTTTTGTTTTATGTTTTTAAATTTTCTATATTTTCTCCTCTCCCAAATTAAATTCAGTTGGTTTTTTGAGAGTTTTTTTTTTTTAAGTATTCTGTCTTAACAGAAATTTTATTTTGGAAACCCTTATAATAGCTGTGATCATAATGTATAAATCTAATTTTAAAAAATCTTTCTCATGCTCTGGACATATACTGATAAAAGTAAGTGTTGTTGAATGGATAGATAAGCTTACAATGTACATAGAATACACATATTTTCCTTTTATCCTCTAAGGAAACCCCAAATGATCTTCTCAGAAAACAAAATCTATGGAACCCAGGAGAATATAAATAAGAAAAAAATAATGTGAGAATGTCATGATAAAAAAATCATGTAAAATAATACAAGTTTAATGTGAAATTATTAAATACTTCCTCTAGAGAGGTAGTATTATTCAGGTCTTCATCATCTAACACCCAAACTATTGTACAGCTTTCCTGCCTCCAGTCTTGATGATCTCAAATATATCACCCACACTGTTGTTGGGATGGTTTTTCTAAAAGATAATCTGACTTTGGTCTCCACCCTCATTCATATATTTCAGCAATGTTCAAATATCTGTAGGTTAGGGGAGCCTCGGTGGCTCAGTCAGTTAAGCATCCAACTCTTGATTTTGGCTCAGGTCATGATCTCAGGGTCATGAGATTGAGCCCCGCGTGCGTGTGGAGTCTGCTTAAGATTCTCTCTCTCCCTCTCCCTCTGGCCCTCCTCCCCAAATCACACTCTCTCGCTCTTAAAAAAAAAAAAAAATCTATAGATTAAAGTCTGTCACTTTAAAGTCTTTATGACCTGGCCCTACTTACTTGTTCAGATATCACTAATATACTCTCCCACAACTTCACCTAACCAGATACCTCCTCATCATTATGTTCTAGAAACTACTTGCAGTTTCTCTAAGCCTTCTGTATCTTTGTTTATGTTATATCTGTACCCCTGCACATAAACTCAACTTTGGATACATCTTCTAAATCTTTAAGATTTTCCTTTACTCCGGGATGTTTTCCCCAATACCTATTATGGTATGTGTTGTGATGTCACATAAACTCACCCACAGTGTCCCTTCAGAACAATAGCCCTCCTTCTCTCACCTTCTGGGAATGTTGCTGGTTTACAGTTTGTAGCCAGGGTCCCCTGCCTAGGCATTGCCTGTGGCTGAAGAAAGTCACATCACCCAAGATCATTCTTCCTTCCTGCAGACAGATTGTATCCAATGACTAGTCAATATAGGAGTGTATAAAGGACCCCTTGCCCCAGTTTGGGACAATTCTGAAGGGCCATCCCAGGTCCAGAATTCAACTTGGTATTAGCTGAGTTCTTTACTGTAACTGTGTGTGAATCCATCCTCTCTCTGTTCAGTACTGCTCTCATCACTCTGCCATAGGGATTGATCCTGAGAGCCCTCCCCTATAAATCTCCCTATACTGATTTCCCAGAGAAAAGCATCACCCTCACTCTCAGGCTGGTTTGGATGTTTTATGCTCCCATAGATCCATAACAGTCTGTGGATAACTATCCAGTATTCACATTTTAAGTCATTAATAAGTATTTATTAAATAACTGTGTGTGTTGCCCTTTTCTACTATTTCTAAGCTTCTCAAGTATATGAACCATTTTTTATCAAAATTCAAGATATATACCTAAGTTAGCCAAAATATTAAGTAATAGTTAATAGCTAATATTCAGTGAGCACATGTATGCACCAGATACCTTGTTTTCACATGAGAAAACAGGCATGGTACAAGGTCACAGGTACTAATATGAGTAGAAGTTATTTGAGCTTTGATCTCATAACTGCCCATCACATGACCATCCCTCAATAAAGGGAAATCCAGAAGTTACTTTCTAGAATTAAATACACTCAAAGCACATATTCTAACAGATAAAATTTGTTTCTTCTGATCCTATTTCTGTCTTTAATAATTTGAATGTCCATGGGCATTATCTTATCTCTCTTGTTCTCAATTTTCTGTCCTATAAATTAAGTATTTGTAAAGTTCCTTACAGATCAAAAATTATTTTCTAGAATAGAATTACCTTTATGTATATACTCCTTTTTATTTAATGCCCCTTTGTTTCTTTGATAGGTGATTAAATTTTGATCTCTCTAATAAACACTTCAGTAAGAGGAAATATCAATCCCCTGGGAACATCAGTTTAGGGCTTACAGTGACCTTTTACTT